CTACAAAAGGTAAAGAGCAAAGAGGACTAAAATGTACCTGGCCTACGGTATTTTCAACAGCATCATATATGCCAAAGTTAACAGTGAATAATGAAGACTGAAGAACTGGTTCTTTTAAACTGCGGTGCTGTCAATGAACATTTAACACTCAATGAACTTTGAAAATGACTAAGAAATCTGTCTTTGAAGTAGGGCAACCAGAATAATGGTGTTTAGAAGCAAAGATGGTGAGATTTCATCTCACATATTTGGGCATCTTATCAAGAAACCTCTGTCCTTGGAGAAAAACATTCTGCTCGGTAAATAAAACAGAGAGTGAAAAAGAGGAAGAACCTCAATGACATAAAAGAAATGCTTTTCCAGACAAACCAAAAATATATTTTTGGATCTCTACAGAATCCCAGACTACTTGATCGTTCTAATGCAAAACTTATACTTGGACCAGGAGGCAGTCGTCAGAACAGAGCAAGGGAACATGCATGGTTCAAAATTGGGAAGGGCGTACGCCAAGGATGCATCCTATCTCTATACCTTTTCAACCTGTATTCAGAACAGATTATCTGGGAGGCTGGGCTCTATGAGGAGAAATGTGGGGTCAAGACTGGTGGACGATCTGTCAACAATCTGCGTTATGCAGATGACACAACCCTGCTTGCTGAAACTGAGGAGGACCTGAAGCGCCTGCTGCAGAGTGTCAAGGGTCGCTATGAGTTGCAAGCAACTCGACGGTACATAACAACAACAACTACAAACATATCGAATAGGAGCGCTGGTGGCCTCCTCGAGTTGCTATAATCAAGGATGCTTTAGACAGAATATGAAATGATCCTGCAAGTATTAAAAGAAGGTGGAAAGACTATACTGAGTCACTGTATCTAAAGGAATTGGCAGACACAGAAGAATTTAATGAAACAACATATAAGCAAGAGCCTATGGTGATGAAGGAAGAAGTTCAAGCTGCTTTGAAGGAAATAGCAAAAAATAAGGCCCCAGGAATAGATGGTATACCAACTGACATATTTTAACTAACAGATGCTGCCCTGGATGTGCTCACTAAGTTGTGTGTCAAGAAATCTGGAGAACAACCATTTGGCCAATTGACTGGAAGAGATCTATATTTGTTCCCATTCCAAAGAAAGGTGATCCAACAGAGTGTGGAAACTATAGAACAATATCGTTGATTTCACATGCAAGCAAGATTCTGCTGAAGATTATCCAAAACGACTGGAACAGCACAACAGCAGAGAACTGCCAGACGTCCAGGCTGGGTTTAGAAGGGGTCGTGTTACTATAGATACTGTAGCTAATGTTAGATGGATCTTGGCTGAAAGCAGGGAGTACCAGAGGAATGTATATCTGTGCTTCATTGATTATACAAAGGCGTTTGACTTTGTGGACCATAACAAACTGTGGCTGACTCTGAGAAGCATGGGAATCCCAGAACACTTGATCGTTCTAATGCAAAACCTATACTTGGACCAGGAGGCAGTCGTCAGAACAGAGCAAGGGAACATGCATGGTTCAAAATTGGGAAGGGCGTACGCCAGGGATGCGTCCTGTCTCCATACCTTTTCAACCTGTATGCAGAACAGATCATCTGAGAGGCTGGGCTCTATGAGGAGAAATGTGGGGTCAAGACTGGTGGACGATCTGTCAACAATCTGCGTTATGCAGATGACACAACCCTGCTTGCTGAAACTGAGGAGGACCTGAAGCGCTTGCTGCAGAGGGTGAAGGACTGCAGCCTTCAATAGGGATTGAGGCTCAATGTCAAGAAGACAAAGATTCTCACCACTGGACCAATTGGCAGCATCAGGATGGATGGTGAAGAGATTGAGATTGTTCACAGCTTTAGTCTGCTTGGCTCCACAATCAACACTCTTGGCACCAGTAGCCAGGAAATTAAAAGACGCATTGTGATGGGAAAGTCTACTGTTAGGGACCTCTCTAAAGTACTGAAGAGCAGTGGTGTCTCTCTGGAGACTAAGGTGCATCTGATATAGGCCATGGTCTTTGCAATCACTTGTTATGCGTCAGAGAGCTGGATAATGACTAAGGAGGATAGAAAGAGAATTGATGCCTTTGAGTTTTGGTGTTGGAGAAGAGTATTGAGGGTACCATGAACTGCTAAGAAAACAAACAGATTCATCCTGGAAAGGGTTAAACAAGGCTGCTCCTTGGAGGCAAGGATTCTGAGGCTTCGTCTGACATAGTTTGGTCATGTTGTAAGGAGAGACCGGTCCTTGGAGAAGGACATCATGCTTGGGAGAGTGGAGGACAGGCGCAGGAGGGGAAAGCCCTCTAGGAGATGGATTGATTTGATGACTGGGGTAATCGGTATGAGTGTGTTGGAGACAGTGAACTTGGCACAGGACAGAACAGAGTTTAGGGCTGCTGTACATAGGGTCGCTATGAGTCGCAAGTGACTCAATGGCACATAACAACAACAACAACAAAGTTATCACAAGAAATGGTAATGTAAAGACAGTTTCTGCAGCTCATGTTTATGACAGCTGGACTACACCATTGACTATTCAGTTACTAGCCCAATACACATTAATCACCATGGTTCTCTCTTCAGTACTACGTCATTAATTACCCTTCTTGATTCTTTCTGATTATCCCCTCCCCCAAGCTTTTATATCTGTTCATTCCTTGTGCCAAATGACATGCTCTTCTTACATCTACTACTATGAAGTTGAGATTGACTTAAGGACTCTCCAACACGTCTCCAAGTCTTTAAATTGTTACAGGCGAAGACCTCCGTATGGGCTGAAGACCTTTAATTATAGCCCGACACATTATGGGCTATGGCACCAACACTCCTTATTCTTATATTACACTTATTTGCATATTTCCCCTTCATAAGCTCCTACACTTTAAAAATATAAACTATGGCTCTTTACCTATTTACTTTTGTGTTTCTTGCATTTAGATCAAAGTCATGTATTCCAAGTGTGCCCCAACAGTATTTAATTAAAACTGGCATAATTTCATTGCTGACAACATTTCCCAAGGAAATAACTCAAAGAACACTGAATAAACAAAAAACCAACTTTACATAAAAATGTTTACTCAGCACAAGACCAAATAATAAACCACCTAGAAATTCAGCAATAAGGTAATTGTTACACTTATTAAGGAGTCAAGACAGGAGTACTTCAGAGCCATATTCAATTTGTAACAAATCATTCCAGAAGTGAGACTTTATGTAGAAGAATGTGGCATCAGGATCAGAGACTCAACAACTTGATTACTCAGATGACACAACCTTATTTGCTGAAAGTGAGAAGGTCTTGAAGTGCTTGCTGTAGATGATCAAAGACTACAACCTTCAATATGGACTCCATCTAATCATCAAGAAACAAAAATTCTCACCATTGGGTCAATAGGCAACATCAACATAGATGGAAAAGAGATTGATGTTGTCAGTGATTTCATCTTACTTGGATTCACAATCAACACCTTTAGTACCAGCGGTCAAGAAATCAAAAGATGAAACCAATATAAAATTTTTAAGGAATTGTCTTTTAAAAAAAAATCAAACAATGAAATTGGATTTGGAAAATTTGCTGTAGTCACCAGACTGCTAAAGAGTAATAACATCAGTTTAAAGACTAAGGTGTGCCTGATCCAAGCATAATCTTCTTAACTGCTTGTTAAGCATCTGAAAGTGGGACAATGGCTAAGGATAAAAAAAGAATTAGTGCCTTTGAGTTGTGATGTTGGAGAAAAGTACTCACTATCCTATAGTCTGCAAAGAAAAACAAATAGGTCTTGGATCAAGTGAAACTAGGGTGCTCCTTGGAGGTAAGAATGGTGAAACTCCATCTCACATACTTTGGGTTTGTTGTTAGAATGGGCCAGTCCTTGAAGAAGTACATTATGCTTGGAAAGGTGAAGAGTCAGTGTAAGGAAGGAAAACCCACAACAAGATTAATTGACATGGTGACTGTAACAATGGGCTCAATTATGTTGGAGATGGTGAGCATGCCACAGGAAGGGCAGGATTCATATCCACTGATCATAAGGATGCTATGAGTCACAGTTGACTGGAAGGCACATACCAACAGCTGCCAACCAAAACTTGATTTGAAGCTACCAGAGGCTCCACAGTAGGAAGACATAGCAACTGCTATTTAAAACTAATTTATATTCTTGGGAGCGCGACAATGGGCTCAAATGTGTCAGAGATGATGATGATTTTTATGAAATGAATGGTACAGCACTTTGTGGTACAACAGACAAGAAGGAGGCCAGGAGATATATTGCCCTGGGAAAGTTTGCAGTCAGGGACCGCTCCGTACCATTGAGGCTCAATATTCAACTTGATGGCATCTAACCATACCACAACCACTGTGTTGAAATAACAAAAAGAGCATATGAAATCAAGTGTGTGTGTGTGGGGGGGGGGGGGATAACTCACACAACGTGTAGATTACATCTATTAAAAAAACCCATGGAAGTTCATTGCTAATAAGGGGCCAGAGAAAGCCACTTGTCACATTTGTGCAGCATTTTAAAAAGCGTCCTCATACATACTCACTTTGATTTTCATAGTCCTGTGAATGATGCACAGGAAGTATCATTAACTTGTTTTATAGGTAAGGAAACCAACCTAAGGGTGTCAGGAATGTTTGACCAAAGCGGAGCCAGGACGCAGGTCCGAAGTTCCAGGTCCACTTCCTTGCCACCACTCGACAGTTGTGATTGGCGTTGAGGATTTCAGTTTCATTTTCTACAGCAGCATTATATTTGCAAGCGGAGCTCAGAGTCGCAGGCTGCCTGAGAGAGGCAGGTGCTTGGAGTGGCGCTGCTATCGGGCCGTGACACAGAAGCGTGGCAGGGTGATACCTGCCGCAACAGAGGAACGTCGCAGGGTAAACTCGGGCCGCGCCGCCGAGGCCTCGCGACCATAGAGTCCGGAAGCTGGGACAGAGCGGCTCCCAGGAGTGAGCGCCGCACCGCAGAGCGGGGCAAGCCGCGCCCGGGCGGGCGGAATGGCCGCAGCGCTGGCGCTGAGGGTGGTCGCGGGGCTGGCGGCCGCGACACTGGCGGCTGTACTCTTGGAACATTATGGCTTGGCCGGCCCGCCCTCCCCGAGACCCCAGTCCCGCCGAGCCTGGAGCCTGCATCCCGCGCCAGGCTCCGGAGGCAACATATTTTGGGGTCTGCAGGTGATGTGACAGGAGCACGGGGTGGTGGGCGGTGTAGAGCGGGCTCAGCCAAGTGAAATGCTGGGCAGTTTCTGCGGGGCGCGTTAGTTTGAGCTCATGATTACGAGCTGAGGACCTCAGTCAGTTTGCAGCTCGAGAAGTCCTAGTTTTGGCCCTATTATGGCTCTCTGTGTTTCCCTGGGACAAATGGGTAGGGAACGAGGGTAGTTCATGCATTGCACTCGTGCCATTTTTCTTTCCTCGCTAGAGCTGCCTGGCTGCTCCTACCAATGCTGCTTCATTCTAATTGAGATTATTTCTGTTTAATACCTGCTTTTGGCAGATATCCGACATTCACTTGAGCAGGTTTCACGATCGAGGCAGAGCGGTAGACTTAGAGAAGTTCTGTTCTGAAACTATTGACATCATTCAACCAGCTCTCGTCCTAGCAACAGGTAGGGAGGACTGCTGTGCTATCAGTGTTATTCTATGACTCCCAATGGTAGGAAGCTAACCAGGGCTGCAGCTTTTCACTTTGGGAACACATCCCTAGGTGTGAGCCTTGTGAGGTCGGAGGAGGCGGGAAATTAAAATTCTCTTTGCCTGTGGAAAATTAACTCAACACCCACGCCAAATTATTTGTAGCGGTAACGATTTGCCCACACGATAGAATCAGAAGTCTCACGTCAATGTGCTGTCTGCTAAAAGTGCATTTTTAGGCATTTTTTAAATTCTGGATTTGGGAAATAATTCTCCTTTTGCTAATATTTCCACTTTTTTACATTGTCAGTGTTATAATTGTTAGAAGCCTCAGATGACATGGCACTTTTCTTCATCCTTTGTTATTTCTGTGTTTTGGGTTCCCTAGACTCTTCAGAGTCCCCACCAAATCATGATGGAGATGTGAGAGCTAAAGGATTATTTATTCTGTTTACTGGGAACTCTACCCACTCTAAAACATTCATGCAGACAAGAATTCTTGAAGAGCCCTACATTCATATGTTCTGTTTAATTTGCTAGAAATTTTTGTATGTCACTGCCCAAGTTATATTTACCAGATTGCTTCTTTCTGTAAACCTAATACTTGGTCAGATTACATATTTTTATTTTCATTTTGAAAACTATGGTCACCATAGATAGTACATACCTACCCTAAGTGGTGGGCTTTTTTATAAAATATTTTCATTCTATCAGAGTCTCTATGCATTTGTACTGTTTTTAAAAAAGATAGTTATATCCACATCTATTATCAAAGAAGGTTAACTAAGTGCTTGCTAACATTTAACGAACACATAAAACTCTTGCTGAGAAAATCTTATTTTAAATAGCTTATTTTAGACATAGATGCATGCATGAATAAGGAGTAATGCTTTTACATGGATGCATGAATTAGTAATAATGGCTTATACATACTGAGTGGTATGTCTTTATTCTTTCAAATGTTCATGTTGTTGTTGTGTACCAAAGAGTTAGAACTAACTGATAGATGACCCTCCGGTGGGTTTTCAGAAGGCTGTTAATCTCATGGGAGGAAATTGTCCATCCTTCATCCTTTTCCCGTGTAGCAGCTGGTGGTATTTTTATATATATCTGTACACACACACACACATATACATACACACGCACACACACACACACACATATATACGTATATATGTGTGTGTCTATATATATATGTGTGTGTGTGTATATGGATATGTATATATTTGTGTGGGGAGATATATACATATATTCTTTTATATTTATTTTGCATTATTATTCAACTTTTGCATAAACCTACAGGAGACCTGACAGATGCCAAAACAAAGGACAAGTTGGGATCCATGCAGTATGAGGTAGAATGGCAAACTTACCAGGGTATTCTAAAGAAGACAAGAGTCATGGAAAAAACAAAGTGGCTAGATATCAAAGGAAATCATGGTAAGAGCCAAGACCTAGACCTTACCTCCTTCTTTGGAAACTTGAGATTCTCAAATTTCAACTATAATATTGTAAAATGGGACAACATAACAGATTTTAAGATACACTGAAGGCCACATCTCTGAAACACAGCGATAATATATTTTTTAAAAACTTTAGATGCCACTGTTAGCCTTTGAAGTGAAAGACTTGGTTTGTTCCTTTCTTTGTTGTATTAAAGAAACATTTCCATCAAAACCCATTTAGATCATGCTGAGTGAAGTAAGCCTGTCACAAATGGATAAATACTATGTTCTCCTTATACAGAAAATCTAGAACAGGCAAATCTAGGCCAAACTTTATAGAACTGAAGCTACTAGTAACAAGTAAAGTTAAGCAAGAGGAAGGTGGATAAGTGGTTTCACTGTTTAGGAAATACTGTGCTTCTTTCTGTTAAGGATGATGGAAAGCATTGGAGGTGATTAATGATGATAGTTGAATAATAGATGAGCACAACGTCACCACATTGTACTGTAAAGAATGTTGAAATAGCAAATGTTTTTATATATATATTTATCACAGTAAAAAATAAAAGCCCCCCATGCAATCGTATGCTTAAAAATACATACACAGTTTGCTAAATGAAAGACCCAAACTCTCTGTCATTGAGTTAGTTTCTACTGATAATGACCTTTCACTGGGTTTCATTGAGGCTGTATATCTCTGTAGAGAACAACTTCATCATTTTCCCATGGAGCATTTCATGGATTTGAACCATTGACTTTTCAGTTAGCAAACCAATATATACTATGCCCTCAAGGCTCCTTAAAGGAAAGAAGTCAAACCCAAAAGTCTTCATACTGTATGATTCTATTTATTTGACATTCTAGGAAAGGCATTTATAGGAAGAGAACAGATTTGTCATAGTGAGCAATGGGAATAGGAAGAGACAATTAAGAAGCACCATGAAGGTTGTTTTTGAGGTGACTGTTCTGTGTCTTGATTTTGGAGTTGGACCTACAAATATTTGTCAAAACACACATGATTGTACACCACAGAGTGAATTTTACTGTATATAACTTTAAAAATGAAAATCTGATAATTGCTGATAAATCCTATACACTTAGAGAAATGGATAACACCATTTATTTATTGTTTTTTAAAAAGATTATCATTGTTTTACTAAGGGGATGAACTCTTCTCCAAGACCTGATGGTAGGTTTGTCTGTTTATTTTATAAAAGCTGATACTTTTAATTGGTTAAAAAAAGTACTTCTTTTAGTTGTTCATTGCTGATGAGTACTTTTTTTTTTAGCTATTGGAGTGGTAATTCTATCTGATGAAATACACAGCTTGTTTAGAAATTTGACTAGATCAAAAAAGAAAAGACTCCCTTTGTATATACTTCTAAAGAGCTAGGAAAGTTAAAAAAATAGGTTATCTTGATTGTAACTTTCTCTGATACAATTACATTTCCTTTTTTATCTTAATTCTAGTGAATTATATTCTTTTGCAACAAATTAAAAATTTGTGTATTAAAAATACTTTCTAGCCAAGATACAGATTTATTTATTTATTTCAAGTAATGAATGTCAGGAACACTCTTGTGATCAAATATTTTGGATGATCTCTTGGAGTCAATTATAATGTTATTAAACTTGTACAGATATAAACAATTATTTTATGTGTTTATGTATTATAGTAAGATGAGAAGAAGCTAATCTTTATTAAAATTTAAGTATGACCCAGAATTAGTTTGTTATTTAGCAAGATGATTACATATGTTAATATCTCTTTTGATTTGGCATAAATTGGATTTATCACTTAATTCTCCAAAACTATTGAAAATAAAGTAGATTTTTGGAAATCTAAGGTGATAAATAATTTTAGCTATTGTAACCAGGCAGTCAACTTTATGTTATCTTTTTATTTCTGGATATATGTTCTATGATGTCCTTAATCTTACCACTTAACATTGTGTAACTTCTTTTCCCACTGAATATTCTTAAGATACAGGAAGAGATGGGCTTTGTCCCTGTTGTCTAGCGGATAGGCATCTTAGAAGCACTTGATCTGAATCCATAAATTATGTATGAATAGTCTTTGCTGCCTTCCAGGATGTTATGAAAGTAACAAATACAACAACCATCCAATCTTATAACTTCCAGTTGATTTATTCCAAATAGTACCTATTTTCTCCAATGAAAAAAGTGTTTTAAATAAGTTTCCAGAGAATCTGAATTATCTTAAACTGTCAAATTTTTAAAATTATTATTCTAATTCTGTTGTATAATTTAAAATATTATATAAAGAGTTGTCATTGTTTCTGTAGGAATTAACATATTTGCTTTTAATTTTTAATATAGATGCATTCAACATTCCAAGTCTGGAGAGTGTGGAGAATTACTACAGGTACTATAATAAACAAGACTGAAAACCATGTAGTCTGTGTAACAAGAAGGATACAATAAATTCAAAGAATGAAAACATTTTTAACAAATAAAATTTCCATATATTGCTTCTGATAATTTAGAAAAGAAAGCAACATTTTGTGGTAAATTCAGTTCTTTTTGTTTACAGTCTTTTTAATTCTTTTGATTTCATATAGATTAATGCTTTATTGAATATTGGTACTATTAATATTTCACCCAAATTTTTTTCCATCTCTCTTAAATCAGAGTTTTTAGTGTGTTGAAGTCAGTGCGTTTTAGGATTGCTGAGATACTCGTTCCCTCTGCTTCAGGGGTAGCTGGAGACCACTGTTGGTCACACCTGGTTGTATTGTTCTTTCATTTTAATCCACTCAACTCTTTGCTGTGGAGTCATAACCAGCTCCTAGCTGATCCTCTAGTGACTTTTTGTGGTTTTCAGAGGCTGTAAGTAACATGGGAGGCTACTGCCTAGCTTTCTACCACAAAGCAGGTGCTGGATTTAAATGGCCTGCCTTTAGAGTTTGAAGTGCAACTCTTCACACATCAAGTCTTCAGAGCTTCCCTTCATCTCGATAGTCCATATTGTTGTTATTGAGTACTGTCGAGTCAGAACTGACTCATAACTGATCCTCCATCAGGTTTTCAGAGGCAGTAAATCACATGGGAGGAGAGATTGCCCATCTCCCCTACAGAGCAGCTGGTGGAAATGAACTGTATACCTTTGGGTTGCCAGCACAACTACTTACCACTAGACCATTAGAACTCCCTCAATAGTCCATATATATGTAAAAACTTTATATTCAAGAATTGATGAAAAAAAAAAAAGAATTGATGGAATACCAATTGAAATGTTTTAACAAACATGTACAACACTGAAAGAGCACTCACTCTTCTATCCCAAGAAATCTGGAAGACAATTATCTGGCTAACCATCTAGAAGATTGTATTGCTGTCCATTCCAAAGAAAACTGATCCAAGAGAATATAAAACTTATCAAACAATGTCTTCAATATCGTATGCAAATACTATCTTGCTGAAAGGAATTTAAAATTAATTTAAGCAGTACATTGATAAAGAGTACCCATAAATTCAAGCAAAATTTAGAAGAGGATTTGGAATGAGGGTTATTATTGCTGATGTCAGATGGATCATAACTAAAAGCAAAGAAAGATGTTTACTGGTGGCAGAATCCATTGGGAGTTTTGCTGCTAATCTAAGGTGGAGCCTCTCTGAGTTTTCAGATCCACCAGAGACTGCAGGAGAAAGATGAGCAGTCTCCTCCTCTGTGATTTATAGCCAAAGACAACCCACTGGACGATCAGCTATGAGTTAGTTCTGACTTGACAGCTATGAGTTTTGTGTTTTGTTTTTTTTTAAACTGACTGACATTACAGAACAAAGCTACTGTGTGCGCTGAAACTGAAACTGAAATCACTGTCAAAAGAAGAATCCCAATTCATTTAAACTACAGAAGTGGTTTTCTAACTCAGAGCTCTTCAACCTTTTTGTGGATTACTTGCTCAGCATACAGATTGAATAACAATGGTTATAACCCTGATACATTCCTTTCCTGCTTGTAAGCCATGCAGTATCCTCTTGTTCTGTTCAAAGAACAGCCTCTTGATCTATGCACAGGTTCTTCATCAGCAGTTAAGTGCTATGGAATTCTCATTATCTTAATTTTAACCATAATTTGTTATGATCTACCATAGTCAAATATTTGTCTGTGCTAACAAAACACAAGGACATATTTTTTATATTCTCTACTTTTGGTCAAGATCTACCTAACATTAACAATAATATCTCTCATTCCATGTTCTCTTCTGAACTCAGCTTGAATTTCTGGAAGTTCTCTGTGCTACTGAAAACATTTTAAAAATATGTTCAGTAAGATTTTACCTGTGTGTGATATTAATGATACTGTTTAATAATTTCTGCATTCTGTTGGATCTCCTTTCTTTGAAATGTATCCCTTTTAGTGGATTGACCAAGATCTATTTTCCAGATTTCTTGGCATAGTGAATGAGTATTGTTTGAAATGTTTGTTGAAACATCCCAGCTGGTATTCTGTCATTTCCTGGAAACCTATGTTTTTCATCAGTGCCTTCAGTAGAGTATGAATTTCTTTGTTTAGAGCTATCAGTTTTTGATCAGATGTTACCTTCTGGAATGGTTTTATTTGTACTCCTTCCTTTTGGTACAGTGACTCCATGTATTCCTTCCAGCTTTTTTTTTCTTTCCTTCCAACTTCTTTTGATGTTTCCTGCCTCATTCAGTATTTTGCCAGTAGAACCCTTCATTATTATAATTTGGAGCTTGACGAGAAATGGCAAGTGTGTTCTTCCTTTTTTAGGTTTCTAACTCTAGTTTCTTTCTTATTTTTTTAATTTTTTTTACCAACAGATAGTTTATCAAAATAGTTGATTTAGGCATCTGCAATGGTGACTTCAACCTCTTTTCCAGGCTCAGTGCTGATGGAGGTAATCTGTTTGACAATCTCAGAAGGGCTGTGCAAGTCAGTGAGTCACTTGTGGATCCTTATCTGGAAATGATACCAGGTCTTGGAACCTTCCCCACAAGAAGTCTTCCTTGTAGTGATTCTCAGAGTCTTGGTCGGCATCCTAACCGGCCCTTCACCTTGAGGTTCTTCTCTTTTGTCCCTCTGATCAAGTTAGCACACACCTTTTCCAGAGATTTTACGTCATGGCTGCCTAGGGTAATTCTAATCTGTTGAATGGGTGTCCTTAAAAGCAGCGAGGCTTCCTGACCAACTTATTTCCTGGGGAGAGCGAATATTGCTTTATAATAATTTGTTTTATCTTTTTTGAGCTTCTTTTTTGAAATCTTCTCTTCAAACTCAGCTCTTTTATACCATTTCTTCCTTTTGGGTTAACTACTCTACATTCTAAAGCAAGTTTCAGAGACTCTTCTAACATCCCTTTTGGTTTTATTTTTTCCCTGCCTTTTTAGTGTAACCTTTTGCTTTCTTCATGTTTAATGTCCTTGTAATCCATAACTAATCTGATCTTTGGCCATTAATGTTAAATGTATCAAATTTACTCTTAAGATGACCTCAGAATTCAGGTTGGATATCTAGGTTATCCTTTGGCTCTAATAGACTACTTTCATTTTCTTCAGCTTCAATTTGAACTTAAATATGAGCGATCAATTATCTGATGATTTGTTCCCATCTCTTGGTATTGTAAATAATACTGCAAGGAACATGAGTATACATATGTCTGTGTTGCAGCCCTTATTTCTGTAGGATGTTCTCCTGATAGTAGACTGCTGAGTCAAATGATAGTTCTAATCTCAACTTGGTAAAGGAAGTGCTAATTTTCAAAGTGGTTGCACTATTTTACATTCTCATCAGTGGTGTATGAAAGTTCCAGTCTCTCCTCATCTTCACCAGTATTTGTTATTTATTACCCGGCAGAGCTTAGCTGTTGTTACTGGGGTGAGATGATATCTCATATTTGTCAGATTTGCATCTCTTTTATAGCTAATGTTATGATTCCACACAGTCAAATACCTTTGCATAATCTATACTTAGTCTAGTATTCTGTGCTTTCAACCAACATCCCTCTGACATCAGCAGTGATAGCCCACCAGTATTGAAGAAAGCCACTGCCTCTTCTAAATTCAGCTTGAATTTCTGGCAATTCCCTGTTAATATACTGTTTTAAACATTTTTTTTTGTTTTAATCATTTTTAATAAGCTTCACCAAGATTTTAGTTGCATATGACATCGTTTGGTAATTTCCAGATTCTGTTGGATCATCTTTTTTTGGAATTGGAAACAAATATGGATCTTATCTAGCCAGTTGGCCAGCTGTCTTCAAATTTCATGGTATAGACTGGTGAGCGCATCAAGGGCTGCATCTGTTTGTTGAAACACATCACTTGGTATCCCATTAATTCCTGGCATCTTTTTTTCTTTTTTGCCACTGCCTTCAGTGCATCTTGAATGTCTTTATTCATCACTATTAACCAATACTGATGATATGCTGTTTCCTGCAGTGGGTTCAGGTCAGCCAATTCCTTTTACTAGAATAACTCTCTGTATTCTTTCCATTTTCTTTTGATGCTTCCTGAATTATTTAAGATTTTGTCAATCCTTGCGTATTATAGCCTGAGGCTTGAGACGTATTCTTCAGTTCTTTCAGCTTGAGAAATGCTGACCAAATTCTTCCTTTTAAATTTTTTAATTTAGTTCTTTACATATTTGGGGTTCCCCCCCTTTTATTCATCAATCAGTAGAAAGATGACATAGTTCTTTACATATTTTGTTCTTATACTCTTGTCTTGTTGAGTTGCCCTATGAAATCTTTTGTTCATCTCTTTTACTTCAGCATTTCTTCCCTTTGCTTTAACCTCTCAATATTCAAATCTTTATGCAGACCAAGAAGCTATTATCTGAACAAAGCAAGGGAACATTGCATGGTTTAAAATCAAGAAAGGTATATATCAAGGTTATATCCTTTCTCCATATCTATACAATATGTATGCTGAACAAATCATTTGAGAGGCTGGTCTTTATGAAGAGGACTCTTACACTGGGAATAAAGGAAGACTCATCAACAACCTGCATTATCCAGATGACACAACCTTACTTTGAAAGTGAAGAGGACTTAAAACACTTGCTGCAGAAGATCAAAGACTTCAGCCTTCAATACGGATTATATCTCAATATTAAGAAAACAAAAATTCTCATCATTAGTCCAATAGGCAACATTGTGACAGATGGAGAAAAGATAAAGTTGTCAAAGATTTCATCTTACTTGAATCCATAATCAACATTTTGGTACCAGCAGTCAAGAAATTAAAAGACGCATTGCATTGAGAAAATCTGTCAAGGACCTCTCCAAAGGGCAAAAGCACAATAATGTCAGTTTAAATACTAACGTGCACCTGATTCAGGTTACAGTCTAGTCAGTTACTTGCTATGCAAATGAAAGTTTAATAGAGAATAAAGATGACAGAAGAAGAATTGATGCCTTTGAGTTGTGATGGTGAATAAGAGTAATGAGTATACTGCCAAAATGAGTATCGACTGCCAAAAGAACAAACAAATATGTCTTGAAGTAAATGAAACCTGGGTGCTCCTTAGAGGTACGGATGGTGAAACTTCATCTCACATACTTTGGGCTTGTTAGGAGGGACCAGTCTTTGGAAAAAGACATCATGCTTGGAAAAGTGGTGACCTTTGTTTCGACCCTAGACAAGTTGCATTGACATAATAACTAACAATGTTCAAAAATATCAGAGGTGGTGTGGCTGGCACAGGATTAGGACAAAGTTCAGAACTGTTGTCCATAGGATCACTGATATCAACAACAATAACCTAATTATCTCAAGCATTTCTTTATGTGTCTTTTGGTCATCTGAATGTCTTCTTTGGCACGGTATCTTTTCATATCCACTGCCAATTTTGTAGTTAGGTTATTTGTCTTTTTCTTGTTGAGGTGTTAGAGTTTTCTATAAATTTTAGAGAAATGTCTCTTGTCCAGTATATCATTGCTAAGTATTTCTTTCCAGTCTGTAGGTTCTCTTTTTACTTCTCTGGAGAACTCTTTTAATGCATATAAGGATCTAATTCTTAGATGTTCCAAATACTCTAGCTTACTTTCTACTGATTGTGCAATTATATATGACAGCTTATTTCTGACATAAATTGTTATTAGGTCCCGATGAGGCAACCGCTTCTCATAGCAATCCAATGAATGATGAATCTGAACCATGTCTTATCCTGCCCCATACTTAATCACCTCTGCCACACTAGAGCTCACTGTTACAGTCACTGTATCAGTCGAGACCCTCATGTTGTTGAGGGTCTTCTCCTTTGCTGACTTTCCACTTTTCTAAACATGATGTCTTTTTCTAAGGACTGGAACCTGCTGGCAACATGCCCAAAATATGTTAGCCAAAAATTTGCTAAATTGTTCAATTATATCTAGTAATATTCTTGCTCTGTCTTTGGAATTTTTCTAGATATAGGATCATATTATCTACAGAGATAGTATTACTCCCTCTCTTCCATTATAGATG